ATGCTCACTGGCTTTGTCCTTTACAGCCTTTCCCGCGGCATGTGGTCTGGGAGGCAAAGGAGGTGGATCTGATGAGGGATCACGCAATCGTGTCGAGGAGGTAGCGGGCGTCCTCGAAGACCGACGTCGACGTGAACGACGCCTTCTGACTTTAGCTGCGGCTTCTCGATGAGATGAGTGATCGCGCACCATCTCCTTCAAGATGGCAATTTCCTTCTGAACCTGCGGGCAGTCCTTCGATGTGGCTTCATGGGATCCATTGCAATTAGAGCATTTCTTGACAGTTGCGACGCACTTATCCGCTTCATGGTGCTCGGCGCAGCGGTGGCATACCACCGAATTCTCGCAGACGCTGCTCACATGTCCAAGTTTCATGCATTTACGGCACTGGAGAGGCTTTGGAATGAAAGGCCGCACAGCATGTCTGAAGTACCCCACCTTCACATGAGAGGGGAGTGATGTGCTCTTAAACGCAATCTTCACACAGCGAGACTTGCCTAGCCGGGTGACATCAACAATTGGAGTATCAGTTGTTGACTTGACAAGAAGTTGTAAGTCCTTATAGGAAATAGCGACATCAATGTCGTAGATCACGCCGGTTACTACATCACATCCCAAGGGAACATGAGAGCGCACCTGGTTGCCGTCCAAGTCAGTTACATTGCGCAGAACGCCCAACGCACTTGCGTGCAAAACGTCCACAGCCAGTATATTCTTTCTGGCGTTCACTCTTATGTCCGTGATCTCATTTGGCACGAGCGTTTCCAGAGACCTCGACACAGACTGTCTGTTAAGGCGTTTCATGCCGATGGTAGGAAGTGCAGGCAGAAACAGGATGGTATAAGCGTTCGATTTTGGCGCTTCACTTACAGTTTGAATAGTTGAGAATGAGGATGTCCTCATGTTCCTTCTCTTCGCCTTGCAGCTCAGCACAGGTTGGAAACCGTCATCTGAGAAGTCCTCACTGCTGAGATAGTAAGCATGAGTATCTTCACTGTCGCTGTCGCTCGCTTGTCCCATCCGCTTCCTGGAGGTGGTCGCCGCTGGCGCCGCTGGTGCCGGCAGGCGCCCGGGGTGGTCTACTTCCATCCCCTTCAAGGGAGCAGCGGAAACAGATCAACAGACTTAAATTACAACTGAAAAACGCCGGAGTTAGCAGAAGCAGCTCCTATTCAAAACACACTTCTTCGTCTTCTTCTCGCGATATACTATACTATCTACTATACTATATACTATACTGATGGTCGACTTCAATGCCAAGGAAGAAAAGAAGCAGGCTGAAGATCAGGCAGTAGGAGATTATGACGTCGGTACTAGAAATGCCAGAGTGGAGCTATTAGTAGAATTTGCAAAAAATCAATGATTTACGGATGTTCAATACCTTCTACAGAAAACGAAAGAACAGTAAGTGGACATGATGAGCCCTAATGGCTAAAGTAAGAATGAAATAAACTTTATACTGAGTGCACACGAAGGCATCGTGCAGGATGTGGAAGTGTTTAGCAAGGTACGATGCAGTGACTATAGAATAGTAAGGTCTTGAATTCGCCTAGACTTGAATGAGAAAAGACAAAAACTAATAAGCAAGAAGCCAATCAATCAGCTAGCACTGAACGGGAAAGTACAGGAATTCAGAGTCTTGCTTCAGAAGAGGTACTTGGCTCTTATCGAGGAAACAAACATTAGCGTAGGCGCAATGAATGATAATCTGACGAGTATCAATATGGAGTGGGCAGTGGAAGTTGGAGGTACGGTAGACAGGGCACTGGTAAGCTGTCCCAGGAGACGGAGAACCTCTTTAAGAAGCGTTTAAGCATTAAGGCCTCAAACACAACAGACAAAATAGAATTGGCAGAGCTTTCGAAGTTGATTAATAAGCGTAAGGTATCCGATGTAACAAGCTATAACATGGAGAACAATGAACACGCTCAGAAAAACGGAGGAAGCGTTAAAGCAGTAAACAGGAAACTCAGGATAAAAAAAACAGAAGTATGCACAAAAGAATGAGGAAGGCAAAGTAATTGCCAATATGGAGAGGATAGTTGAAATAGCGGAAGAGTTTCGTAGAGATCTGTACAGTAGCCGCGGCAACCACGACCTTATATAAGAACAAGAAGTAACCCAGATGGCATCGCACTAGTAAAGATAGAAGTCAGAAAAGCCTTGCAGGGAATGCAAAAAGGCAAAGTTGCTGTTGAGGAATGCGGTAAGATCAAAGCTGATGAAGGACGAAAAAATGATTGTATTAGAAAAAAAATAGCCAACCTGCCTACGAAGTGTCTCCTTCGACCCCGAATTTATTACTATAAGAACTAGCAGTAACCCAGATGACACTCGACCAGTAATGACAGAAGAAGTCAGAAAAGCCTCGGAGAGCATGCAAAGAAGTGAAGCTGCTGGTGAGGACCAGATAACATCAGATCCGCTGAAAGATAGAGGACAGAGTGTGTTAGAAAAACTAGCCACCCTGTTTACGAGGTGCCTCCTGTTGGGCAGAGTACCAGAGTCTTGGAACGATGCTAACACCATCTTAATACATAAGAAAGGAGACGACAAGGATCGATATTAGGGGTTTAACGTCCCAAAACCACCATATGATTATGAGAGACGCCGTGGTAGAGGGCTCCGGAAATTTTGACCTCCTGGGGTTCTTCAACGTGCACTAAAATCAGGCCCAAGTACACGGGCCTACAACATTTCTGCCTCCATCGGAAATGCAGCCGCCGCAGCCGAGATTCAATCCCGCTACCTGCAACACACACACACACACACACACACGCACGCACGCACGCACGCGCGCACGCACACACACACACACACACACACACACACACACACACACACACACACACAACACACACACACACACACACACACACACACACACACACACACACACACACACACACACACACACACACAATCCTCCCGCAAAACTGAGTGAAGCTGCTGAAACCCGGCAACACAAACACGTATCACATTTTCTGCTTCACAAACATTGGACATTGGTTTGATTGCTGCTGCGTGCGATTTAGAAATGCAGGGGGTAGCAGTTGGTTTGGGGGTTTACGCACGACCTATTTATGCGCAACATAAACAGTCACCATTCCTTGCAGCTTCACGCTAAGCAGGGCCAATCATTAACGCTGCCAAAACAATGAGAATCAACTGGGCACCGCGAACAATACGCGCAGTTCTTCCGCTACACCACGCATTTCGCTACTCTGCGTGAACAGCTGTTGCCCCGTCCACATGGTGCTGACGTTAAAATGATGGGCCACCTCATGTTCCTTGTTTGCCTTGTAGTGTTAATGCACGTCAATTACAAACCACTCGAGTTGTTTAGTCCTATTGAGAAAAAATCAACATATATAACGCTTGAAAAACACTAATAATAAAAATTTGGCACTTTGGCACGCTTCGGAATGTTGCAGTAGGTAATGCTGTGCTTCTTCCTAGGTGGCGCAAGCTCCCACCTGGTCTGAAGGGTACAGCTATTCTTATAGATCCAGCTATTCATCAATTTTTTTCTCGCTTCACGCTTTTGTTTCTGTTGCCATACAACCTTATCGGTGTGATTTCGACGCTCATATGGATCTATTTTACTGTGTTAAATCCTGAAACGTTTTACTTATCGTCTGCAGTAGGGAATGCTCTTGCGTGCTACGTTGTTTTCGTTCAGTAGATATCGTCAATTTCGATGAAGAACTCAACTAAGTTTTCTCGCCTTGCGAAGACGACACCCGCGGCTACCACTTACGTCACATCAGCCGTGAGTATTGCAGCGTTATTTGAATTGTGTACAAACGCCCTGTTAAGACATTGTTTGCTGACCACAGACACTGAGGAAGGAATTGGGGAGAGGCGTGAGTTGAAGAATTGTTGTTCCGTGGACACTCGGCGATGCTTAACTGGCACCGGGACCACAAAAAAATGAGCTACGCCTGTATAATTCCTTCTATGTGGTAAGAAAAAGCTTCATTGTTCGAAAAAAAAAAGGTGCCGTCTATCGTAGGAATGAGACTCGACATGAAGCGATACCCATAATTAAATAGTGAAATGGTTTGCTAAAGAGATCGTGGGCATTATTCGGTAGCCTTGCGAGATGCTTTCCCAATCAACCCCGCGTTTATTTTTTAGTCTTGTAATCCTCGACAGTTGCATGTGTTCGTGTTTTCTGCTGGGCAAGTATTGCGTTTCGCACCGCAGCCATTGCCACAGCGGTCAGTCACGCCATCTTTGCTGGGCATTTTTGCGGTCATGATAATTCTTGAGCACTGCGGTCTTGACTACATTGCTGTGACGTTGTACCCCTTTCAGTAATTTTACATTAACTCGAGAAGAGAGGTACATCCTTAAAAAGCATTCGTGTTTCTTTTTTGTGTGGTTACACCTGGCTTTTCAAGGAACATGTTGAAAAAACCTGGCGTTTTTATAACTTACTTGCTTAGCAGCTGTGTGGAGTAATCTGTTTAAAAGAATTTCATTGACAGTTACCTTCAAAGAAAACCCAGTGGTGCAACACTACAGGTGAAAACAGAGAAATTGAAGTAGAAAGTGCATCAACTTCGACGCAAAAGTGATGTGATGTAGATGCCTCTCCTGTCACTCTTTGCTTGTAAATCGAAGCTCACGCAAATGACTGCTCATGGAACCTAAGAAGCACTGACTTTCCATATATCTGACTTTTAATGCAGCTACTGTTTACCAAAAGTCGCTAAATTTAGCCAGTAATAACTGCCTACAAAGTGTGGTCCTAGATGTTCAATCTCTTGCAATCTCTCATGTAGCAACTACTCTCATCATTTGCAGCTCTTGCATACAATATAGAATGCATACCGATTGCACTTAGCGGCCAATTGTCATGAAAATGTGAACTGCACACTAAAAAAATGTATGAAAAGGGAGCAGACACAGACAACACTTGTCCATGCCAGCTTCCTTTTCGCCGAGTTTTTCCTTGCTTTAGAAATTTTGTTGACGCTGATCTACCAACTTACCCAAACACTCACGTTAATCGCTTTGTAGCTGTCATTGACGACGGTCCTGAAGTAGCCCGTGGGATGCACCTGCAGTGAGATATTTGAAACGGATGCACTGAGCCACACAATAGATTTTCTATGCAGATACCTAATGTAGTCGCTGTGTAGCGATCATGTGTTCTCACTATTTGAGTGATATGTTACAGTAGGCCAGCAAAAACAAATAAAGATCACTCAACCTAACTCAAGAAATTTATTTTTCTGTGAGGACCTAATTGGGCTCTGACTCGCCAAAACTTTCTTATACCGCACTCTCTCTTACTCAAACTCGTTAACGTCTTACTCAGCTGGACTTACAGAGGCTCTTGTTTTCACCTGAGGCTGAGGGAGTCAACTCATGAGTCGATTACTGAATTATTGGGTTTTTTTCGAAAATGATGTCAATTCACTTTAATGCTAACACCTCATGTAATCGATGCTCTATAATGACCCTTTACATCTCATACTTTCAAGTATGAATCATTGCAGCTGTCAATACAGTATTCAGAGCTTTAAAACTTATGTGATTCCCAGGAGATATTTTTGTCAAGATGTGCCCCTGAACGAGTTTGCTCAGAAAGGTCATGATGCCAACACCCTCCCAAACTCGTAACTCGAATTAAAAGAAAGTACAAGGTAGCACACTCTTGAGATATATGTGAAAAGACTTGAGTGCAAGCTAAGCTGATACAATACTGATAGTAAAGCTGTAGACGAGTAGGTAAGAATATGTATCAGCCATGAAAGGTTGAGCTCAATCAGACTTGCTCACAAAATATATTTCGCGCTTCGGGCTGACTCTGAATCTGACTCCTCAATATTTTTTAACCTTAACTGGACTCACTTGGACTCCGACTCAGGAAAACTATTATCGACCAGACTCGGGCTTAATCTGACCATAATAGCATACATTCACTCATGGTCAAATCTGGGTCTGAGGAACACCTACAAAGAAAAACTATACTTGTGCTATGGCTGACCTTATGCTATGGCTAACCTTATAAGTGCATAACTTGTCAAAGCTGATTTGAGAGTTGAGGACGTGATTCCCCTTTTCTCTCAGTTCATTTTGAGAGGAGTCGAAAGGTAAAAAAATATTTTATTGTGGTTTATATTCCCACAAAATGTGTCCAACAAAGAACACATATATTCCCACAAAGGTAATCGATGTCATCTGTAAAAATCCATTTCAGGGCTTCTGCTCACAGCATTCAGCAGTGTAGGATAGACATTCCTTGCAGCGTGCTCTCCTTTTTTTGATATAGTACTGTTGTACGCATTCATAAAGATGTTGTACTGATAGAGGGCTCTAGTCAATAGCGGCGCTGCTGCACAATGCAAGGAGTAACCACGAGAGGCTCTAGCAACTCTACTTGGCGGAAAGGAGGATAACCAAAAGAGTTTGGCAGTGCTTTTGTTTCTTGCGTCTCAAGCATAGCGTTTTCTAGGTCTGTGTGAGTTAACTCATGACTGCGTTTGCTGACCTATGATTGCACATATAATTGCGATTGTTCTGCACAGCTCAGATGAAACAAGTCAGCTAGAGATGCTACTAAGGAAGCTTTTGAAGCCTCCAGAGGAGAAAGAACGTAATAAGCCCACTTCTTGCTTGTCATGAAGGTAAAAATACTCTGCAGCAAGGCATGGTCAAGGGCCCTAAGGAAATGAAGAACTCATACTTACGAACATTAAGGGTCAAGAAACTGTCACAAGATTTTTGACACTGGTGTATACGCTGCACTGTCATGCAACAGTGCAGCCTCAATTTGTTTGAATGATATGTGGAGTTCAACGTTCCAAAACAACCATATTATTATCGGAGACGCAATAAAGTCCAGCCTTCCAACACTGTCCAGTGTCGGGGGTATTTTTAAGAACACAAGCGACACGTCACTTTGACAAAGTCTTGTTATATCTCTGAGTATACTCATAAGCGTTTACTGTGCTGTTCGCGAAGAAATCCTTGGAAATAATAAAATTTGGGCAATTCGACAAGCGGTTAAAAATGCCTTTACAGTCGAGATTTTTTTGTCTGGGTTTTTTTACATTATGTGGGCAAAATCGAAGGGCACGCTACCGAAAGTTTTGTCCGCAAAAAACGCTCCCAGTGCACCATAAAATAATGTTCACCGCAGTATTCTTGAATTTTATGGCCAAATTTAACGCAAGCTTTAACTGCCATGATGAAATTTCTTCTGTTGGCTTTAATACGCTGTACTGTGAACTATACCATACTTTATTGTTGTGTTCCCTAGGAGCAAAATATTTTTTAAAAAAATAGCAGACACGGTCCAAATCAGAAAAGTTTGCTTAATTTCTTGCGTGTTCGCTAGTTTGCTAACTTGCACAGATACTTCAAATTTGTGTTGCGTTTTGAAAAGAGCCTTTGCAATATTTCTGCAGAAATAGTTTTTCCAGAAGCAGTATAAAAAATTAAAAAATAAAGAAGCAAGAATTTCGAAGGAAAAAAAGAGAAAAACAAAGAAAAAATTGCAGTCTCAGTGTTGATTACAATTTTTCATCCAAATGCACCTTGGTCAATGATTACACAGTTTCAATATAGTATGTGCTGATTTGCTTTGTTAATGATATATAACGGGACAAAATGACCCATGCTGTGTGTTCTCAGTTCAGTATCGATGGTTGTGATCTGCTTACGGTGTGCGTATATCTCTGCAGCGAAACTTCACACTGGTGGTCTTTCTCCAAGAAAAGTGTACTAATAGATTTTATTTGTGTACAGCGAAGGTGGGTGAGAGCTGCTTCCGCTCTTTAAAGGGCCAACGCGTAGGCAGTTCACAAAGGAGTTCTGCGGAGTATCGCAAGGTGGTAGAAAGGTCATGAAAGGGAAAAAAAGACAACCACCCGTTTGTGGTAGAAAGCCACAAGAAACTCCGTATGGATGTCTATTTTTCCTTTCTTAACCGTGCCGTGCCGTGCCTTTCATCCTCGTGCCTGGCTGTAGCTTAATTGGTAGAGCGACCACCTCACAAAGGCGTTCATTTTAGGTTTGATCCCCGTACCAGGGTGAAATTTTGGCAACTAAGAAGGTTTTTTTTTCATGAGAAATCCGTACAGACTTTTTTTTGGCTTCGTGTAATAAAGTGGAGGCTGTCTGATTTCTCTTTCTTGCGTAGGCAGCTTGCAACCTAGAATTTCGCCTACACGCATTAGAAGAAAGGTGGATGCCCGTGTTCAAGAGATCAATCACTTCTTGCTAAAGAGATGCCTTGTTTGCTTCATCGCAATTCTTGGAAGTAGACAGGGTTTCCTTGAGATGTGTAAAGAAATTCCAGCGGACGTCTTTTGTGAATGTTCTTACACCTTGGCAATGACCTCCGCAGGTAGGAAACAAAAACGGTAACAAAAAAAGAAAATATTTACTCAATGAAAAGATTGCCAACTACTTTTTGCGAACGTGTAACTAATTGGCACGGAATATTCAGACCTAGAAATGGGCCGCGCCTATCGCGTGCAGTGAACAGCTGAATCAAGTTGAAACATTTATGCGGAACAGCACCACACTCATTCTCGCACTTCTGTGCTGCTGCCATAAATGTATTTCTTAAGAGAGAGAGAAACTTTATTTGCGCATAACGCGGAGAATTCCGGATGATCGGGCCCCTAACCCAGGGCTCCGCTGGCCCTAGCCATTGTCTCTACCGTTGAAGCAGCCAGGGCTGATCAGCAATCACCGAGCTGGACAACAGTGCCTCCCATTGTTCCTCTGTGTTGTTCATGTTCTGGCGTGCTTCATTGTGATGTGTACACTCCCACGTGATGTAGAGCAAAGTTGGTGTGGCCACACACCACGGACATATAGCTATGTAAGCCGAGGGGTAGAATACATGTAGCCTGTGTAAGTTCGTGTATGTGTTTGTTTGGATTCTGCGTAATGCCACTGATTCCATTACTGTGAGGTTCTTATGTGGTGCGGGATACAGTTTTCTATTGTCCCTGTAATACTGAAGAATTGTACCAAAGTTAGGGTCTATGGGCGTTGGATCCTCTTTGCAGTGTGCAAGGAAATTCAGTGATTTGTGCATCCTCGAGCCGCCTCATCCGCAAACTTGTTCCCGGTGACACCCTCGTGCCTTGGCGCCCAGATAATAGTTTGTGTGTATTCGCTTGGAAAGTCTTTATGAGCTTTGGTTAGAATTTGGAAGGCCTTCATAAATATTCTACCTTTTTCGTAATTCCTACATGCACCTTTCGAATCCGTGATTATTGTCAGTGGGGCTTTTCTCTCCCTGTCCTCTTTGATGGCCAGCGCGATCGCTATCTCCTCCGCTTCTGTGATAGAGGCTTGGGCTATGGAGGCACAACTTGTAACGTTTCCTTTTCGGTCTGTGACCACAGCTACAATGTTCTTTGCACTTGCCTGATATGGTGCAGTGCCTGTAAATCTCCCCGTATTCAAATATTTTGTCTTTTTATCTAAGTAAGAGGCTCTTGCTTTACGTCTTCGAGCATGTAAAACTGGGTCCATGTTCTTCGGTAGGGGACATGTCTTGTACCAGGCTCTGACTAAGCACGGCAATTTCTTTTCTCTTCTATGCGCCTGTACTTGTTCACTGAGGCCAATCCTCTTGAAACGTTTTCTGCTGGCTGGCGTCTGTAGCAGGCAGTTAATCTGGGTAGTTACTTGCGCTTCAGCCAACTCATCAAATGTATTGTGAAGTCCGGGCGCTAATAGCTTTGCAGTTGAAGTGCTTTGTGTTAGTCGCAAAGCCGCTTTATACGCCATCCTTATTATTTTGTCTGCTTTTTCTTTCTCTTCTCTATTCATATTGTGGTAGGGTAGCTAGTATGTTAGTCTGCTGATAACTAAGCTCTTTGCCAAACGAAGCACGTCTTGTTCTTTCAGTCGAGCACGATTGTTCGTTATTCGAACAATCACATGAATAATTTCTTGAGCTGGTCGTTTAAGCATATTCATTGTGTGAAGACATCACTGATTGTACTGTAATCACATTCCTTAGATTCGAATGGTCGTTTTCTCTGGAATAATATTGCCGTCTAGTTTCACCTGAAGGTGGAGGATCGGG